ATATAAGTATTTATGTTAGTTGATTTTATTAAATTTATAAAATAAATTATGGATCAATTTTACTTTTCTTTCTTATCATTAAATTTCATAAAAAAAAAAATAAAGATATTACTTCATATCAAAACTTATGCATCGATACTAATTAAAATGATTGAAACAAAAAATAATTTAATACTTTTTAAAAATTATAAAATAAAATAATTTCTATTAAATTATACCTTATGATAAGAATAGGAGGATGTATTTAAATTAGCCTTATAAATTTTATTATTAAGCAGTCTTATCCAATAATCAAATGATAATGTACCCTCTCATTTTTCACATATGAAATAATGGGGTGGTTTGGCCGTTGAATTTTGCAGTGGTAGTAGCTGAGCGTAATAGAATTCTATCAAAATGTGATACTGCTTTTCAATTCCCTTCTCCTTTACATTCAAATTGTTTTACTTGTTTCTTGACTTGTGTATGTAGTCGCGTTAAATTTTAGGGTCAGCTATTTCATTTTTTGAGATGCCTCCAACGTAATGAGGAGATTAATCATTGTTATCGATAATGAATATTTCAGGGACAAACAAAAAAAATTGTTTTACTTGCTAATATTTCAACCATTTTTTTTAATATATAGAGATTTTTAATCTGGGCGTTTAGTTTCTTATAGTAAAAAAAATAAAATAAAATCCTATGTAGTTTTTCTATTTTTCATATCATCTTTGGATCAATAAAGCATATAATAAAACAAGAATTACACTGCATATATCAAAATGATGAATTTTAAGTATACTAAAAGAATTAAAACTACTATAAACATATATAATAATTAGTAAATGTAGATGCATGTCAAATAAAAAAATTCGTTAACAAATGGGATCAAGTTAGCGATTGATGGTTAAAGTCAAATTTGATCCTTATTGACTATAAAAAAAAAATTATTTTATATAAGAGAGGTCATATTAATAATTTAATTAAATTAAAATTAAAATTAAAATCTCATACTCTTTTTAGTCAATAATTACTCAAAAGTTAGTTCTTAGACTACAAAATTTATTTTATTGTCACGTATTATTTAGTTCAAGATGAAAATAGATGGAGATTACAACAAGCAATTCACATTTTAAAGTTATTTCAGTTGTTTTTTTTTATATAAGTTGCTTTTCTCCCTTTTTTATGTAATAAATTAATTATTTTTTTTGTGAAAAAATATGTTAGAGATATTATGATACAATCAAATTAATATATATAAATATCATATACATAAACTTTATAATATTGAATTAAACTCAAATTTACGTGTTATTTAATTTCCTTCAATGAGATACACCAATTCGAGTTTACCACATCTTTTGAGTCTTTGCATCATTGCATGTGCATAGATGTCTTTATTTATACCTTTTCTTTTTTCGAACACACACACTTCTCTAGCGATTTAAAGATTGTAGATTGGAGCATAGTCCCACGTAGATAGCTTAGTGGTGGGTTAGGGAACAATGTGTAGGACTACTAATTCACGAATCTGTACCAAAATGAAACGTGGAACCCATATCATTAGTGCCACAAATTTCCACCGACCCCAAAAAAAAAAGTGACATTTATCTTGTTTATGTAGTCTAAGATTCATTTCCGTCTTCCAAACCACTTCAGAACACCTGTTATATCGTTCTAGAAGCTTATTTAAAGAACATGGTTATTTATCGATTGTTGTTGCCTATTGAGGATCTTTTCTGGCTTATGTGTGACTTTAGAAATGGGCTTACGATTTGTGGGTAAAATGTTTAAGCAAGATGGATAACATTCAAGGACAGCCTCACCAAAAACATTTAGATACTTAGAAATAGGTCTCATATTTTGATCCATGTACTTGGACAATAGTTACAATTCTTCACTCTTTTTAGTTTTTGGTCGTTCTTTTTTGCTTTTTTTTCTTTTTTAATGTAGGGCTATATTGCTCAGTTTGGACTTTTTGGTATTTTTGTTTTTGTGGTCCAATTTTTTTGTCCTGTTCCCCGTTTGAACTTCGGGTTCTTCAAGGACATTATAGGTTTTATTGGTCGAGGATAGGTTTGAAACTAATGAGTTATTTGGGCTGAGGTCTAACATGTTGAAGAAAATGTCCGTTTAACTTGTTTTGAACGGATTTCCAAACACATAAGTAGTGATTGACATCATTTTTGATTTACTCATCATACTTATTTATATTTTCATGTATCATGCATCAAATGTTTTAACACATTCTATATATGCTTGGGGGGAGTAGTTCAGAAAGAAAAAAGTCTTTATAGTGAGATGTTTAAGAAAAGGGTTTTTAAGATATTGTTTAATCCACAAATACACTACAAGTTTTCTCTTTTTCCTTACCTACTTAAACCAATTAAAAGATAGTCCTCAATGATAAAATGCCCATATAATATTGCATATCTACTAAAAAGTTTTAATTAGGAATTGCAATGGCGACAATCATATATCGTTGTCTACAAGAGTACTAATGTCTGATGCTTACAATTAAAAATTTATTTACATTTATACATGGACAGTGAAGAGATTATTTGTAATATAATATACAATAGACATTTTTCTGTTCATTTTGATTTTATTAAAAATTGGAATCAATGCTAATGTGATGCTAAGTTAGAGTAAGACACTCCTTTTCGCGTTCGTCTCCTCCCAGTATAGGTGAGAAAAATAGACATCTCCGATTCTTAAAAATAATTTGATGGCTGGAAATTATTTTAATTTAAAATAATTTATTAACTTAAAAATGGAACGTAGTTTAGCATTTCTTTTAACAAAACGGGATGCCATTTATACGGACTTAAAAAAAAGATATTGTGAAACACTTGTATCATTTTTTTGCGAAAACCCAAGACATCTTCATTATTCTTATGGTGCTTAAGAAATCCATCCTTTCTTCTTAAAACTCATATTAATTAGTTAGTCGAAAATATACTTATATCTCTTTGAATTTATTTTGATTGAATAGTTTTTTCTCCTTTGATTAAACAATGCATTTAGACTTGTAAGTTTTTGTTTTTATTTTGGTTTAACTAACTTCTTATAATTTCATAAACTTTATATTGTAGTATTTATAATTCAAAACATTTTACTTTAATATTTATATATATTATATTTGTTTTCTTTTAGTCTTTGTATTCTATTGTTATAGGAACTAAAAAGAAATTTATAAAATTATAGGAATTAAAAAAATGATATGTATAAAGATTAAAATAGAACATTTTTAGTCATAAGAAATAAAAGGTAAAGTTTATAAAACTATAAGAGCAAGTGTATCAAACCTTTTATTTTTCTATGATCATTAAGATGATACTTGTATTCTGTTTCAGAAAACATGAATGCGACATCAATTCTAATAGTAGAAGGTATAAAGAAATGGGTCAATAATATCTATAAACATAATCCACAACATGGTCAAGAAAATGTTGTTGATTACAAACCATATTTGGGAATGGAGTTTGAATATGAGCCAACAACATATGAATTTTATAACGAGTATAGCAGGAAAATTAGGTTTAGTATTCATTGAGAATATGGAAATAAAAGTAAAAAAAATGAAATTTTGATTTCAATAAAATTTTCATGCTTCAAAGAAGATAAACAAGGTGTTGGTAAATGAGACCACTTAACAAAAGAACCTATATTAGAAACTAGAACATGATATAAAGCATGCGTTAATCTACATGAAAAGGAAGGCGAATTCTTAAAGTCATGGAATGATTTACTTGTTGACCATGATATTTCTCATGATTCATGACTACATACAATTTTTTATGTCAGAAAAACTTACACCGTGGGGATGAGAACCAATTAAGTGAGAGTTTTAATGCTAATTTAAAAAACCATTTGAAGTTTGTTTAATTTGGTCCAATTTTTTTACACAAAAACTAAAAGTAAAATTGATGAAATTATAGATATTTCAATGAAAGAACTTATCTTAAAAAAATGCATCAAGTCTAATTTTTAAACTTTAGGATGATTCAGTTTAATTTGAACTCGTTCAAAAAATATAGCAAATTTAATTAATCTCAAAATTGAACCTATCTAAATAACCTTAGTTAGAGTTGGATCTCTTGTTTTTTTGTATAAACCACAAATAACGTTTGTGTAAGACAAATTTTATTCACTAAGCAATAAAGTAGTCGTATGTTCAAGACTTTGACATCTCTAGATAAATTAGACCAATCTCACGCCAACTAATTTACATGATTGTGTTTTGAAACTTGATCAATCTCATGGTAATTAATTTATGTGGTTGATGCTCTAAAATGATTTGTTGCTCACTTCTATTTTTTTTAATTGATAGAAACTTAAGTGAATTTAGGTCTTTAAGACTCATTAGAATCAGAATTTAGGAGATGTCTCAAAATCTGATAAGTATTTATAAAGATAATTACAAATTATTTGTCAATAAAACTCTCGTATTAGTAAGAATCAAACTTATATTCAAATATAAATCCTACTCATCTCTAATTATACATAATAGACATCACTCAATATACATAAAATTTCTCACAAAACAAACTAGATATGCTAATTCAAAACGACACTTCCTCGTATATGTAAAATAGTAGTTTCAAAGACAATAAATCTTGAATCACTATATTTTATGTTTTTTTTCTTTTTCTTTTTAAATTATTAGTATTCTTACTGGAAAAAGTGGAATATAATTTAACATATTTACATACTTGGTTGGAACTTGAAATGACAAACATTTATTAAGACGAAACAATTAACCGATTGATTTACATTTTGTGTCTAGTACATTGAATTGAGAATAATTTAATCAGAATTAAAAGTGATTAATATATAATGAAATGTCAAAGTGATATTATAACGACATTAACATTTATATTACAAGATTGTGACATATCTTAATTTAAATTTTTGATTAAAAAAATTATCCTAAAAGTTGGTCCGTGCCAAAATCCAGTACCATATTTAGCTTGGTGCCAAACCTCCTCCAAGTAATTCTCAGCACCGACCACAAAACTGAAAGCATAGAGAATGACACCCAAACCACATCACATCGGACTTAGACCAATCACCACTCTGCATTCATTTATTTTACAAAAAAAATAGAAAAAAAGAAAATAGCGTACTCCAAATTCTGAAAAAACCAACCTCAACCCGACATAGGAAACTCCGTCACCCATTTTATTATAATATAAATAAAGCATTAATTATGTTTTGCGCACATGAACCCATCTCCAACGGTCATGAACGGCGGCGGCGCAACTCTCTCCGGTGAGGCCTCCGCGAAGCGCAGACGCAGCAGACAGCAAGCGGCAAACGGAGGCATGAAGAACAACTCCACGCGCCGTTCGGAGGCGTCGTTCTTGAAATGGACGGTGGCGGACGCGCTCCACGTGGCGACGCACCATTGGATGCCGTGCCTGTTCGCCTTGGGACTCCTCTTCTTCATGGGCGTCGAGTACACGCTCCACATGGTGCCGCCCTCCTCGCCGCCCTTCGACCTCGGCTTCCTCGCCACGCGCCCCCTCCACGCGCTCCTCCAGTCCTCGCCGCACCTCAACACCCTCTGCGCCGCTCTCAACACGGTACGTCGCCGTTTCCTCTCATCGAATCTGGGTTGCTCTCAAAATCTGATCTTTTTGCTTTTATGGGCAGGTGTTTGTGGGGATGCAAACCAGTTATATCCTATGGACGTGGCTCATTGAAGGACGCCCCAGAGCCACCATTTCAACGTTGTTCATGTTCACTTGCCGTGGCATTTTAGGCTACTCCACCCAGCTTCCATTGCCTCAGGTCATTCTTTAATCAACCATGATTTCTCTAAATTACTTTCCTCCATCTTGTAACTGTTATTGGTTCACATAAATTATCTAGATAAAACCCCAATTTTGATTAAAAAAATGCAGTTTTTAGGTGGTTTTTATTTTTAAGAACAAAAGTGAAAAGTGAGATAAAATTGGTTTTATTTTGATGATTAATATATTGTTTTTGATTTGATGGTGAATAGGGGTTTTTGGGGTCTGGTGCGGACTTTCCTGTCGGGAATGTGTCGTTTTTTTTGTTTTTCTCGGGGCATGTTGCGGGTTCGGTGATTGCTTCGTTGGACATGAGGAGGATGCAGAGGTGGGAACTGGCATGGACTTTTGATGTGCTCAATGTTTTGCAAGCTGTCAGGTTGCTCGCTTCCAGAGGCCATTACACTATTGATTTGGCTGTCGGGGTTGGTGCTGGAATTCTTTTTGATTCTTTAGCTGGCAAGTATGAAGATAGCAAAAGGAATCCTCCTTTCACCACTAAACACACTTTCACTCTTTGATTGCATCACCAATCACCACTACATATGCTCTGCTATATCGTCTCTTTTAGTCTTATTCATTGAAATTTATCAAAAATTACAAAATCTGATGAGACTCGTTTCTTATACCATGAATCTCACAAATTTGTAATTTTCAATCAATTTTAATCGATAAGAGAGGTCATGTTAAGAGAAGTGTTAGAGATCATGATGGTAACACTGTTAGTGTTGGTTTGATGTAGCTAAAATGAAAAAATTGACGAAGGATCATGGAAGTGGAAAAGGTGATGGATTCCAAAGATTGGCAATAGTTTGAATTGTAAAGAGGAAAAGAAAAGGTCAAAAAGTGATATGATATTAGAAGTAGTCTTGGTTACGGCGTGATTTTAAATTTGAGTTTTATTTCACTTGTATTTTTTTTGTAAGCTGTATTGAGTTTCTTTTGTTTTAGTGGAGTGTGGGTTGGAATTCCCTTGGCATGATGGATTGCTCTAGATGTTGTTCCCACTTGGTGGACGGCTATTGAATGGAATATCAGATTTTAATGTTGTGTCTTGATTGTAAAATTGAATTTTTAAGATTTTGCTTTAGTTCATTCATTGTAATTGGAAAACTTGGGTTCTATTAAGATCCTGCGTTAGCTCATTCATGGTATTTGATTGTAAAATTGAAATTTTCAGATTTTGACTATTAAATTTTGATTTTTAATTTCAATATAGTGGTTATTAGTAAATGCACGTTTCCTTTTGTATGGCCCGCAATCCGCAAAGATAAGTCGTGTGGGCGACTACGAAAATAAAATAAGGCCGATTTTGAATAGTTTTCCGGAAGATAAATGTAATTAAAAATCATAAATTTTAGTAAGAAAAAATTCATTAAACCAATAAAAAAATCATTCAATGAGAAACGAAATTTTCTTAAATTTATCATTTTAATAAACTTTAATTAATAATAAAAATATAAAAAAGAAGATCCTCACCTTTTTCATTGTTGGAATTATTTACCGGAGTATTTAAAATTTTAGCCTAGTTGTCAGAGAAGGGAAGTGTTGTGCTTTTAGGGCTTACACACTCACATAACTCTCTACTTGCATGTTTGGATTAGATTTTAAAACGTGATTCTACACTCTCTCTCCATGTTGAATATGGATTTTACGTGGAAGCAAAATAATTTTGCTTCAACTAAACATGAAAATTCACGTTAGAATTGGAACCCAAACATGCACTACATTGTTTAAATATCATTCACTTTGATTTTAAGTTTTTGTGATTTTATTTATGGTCATCATCCAAAATATTACTTATTGATAAAGATAATTGTATATACATAAACTCTTTAATTACACAACAAATTATATTAAAACTAATAATTTCAATTGTGAGACCCCTTCCCTCTTCTTTTCCTTCCCCAAACTTTAGAACCATCACTCTCAATTCTCTCTTTTCTTTTGCTGGCTTTTGATCTCAAATTCTCTGGACTCTCTGGGTGTGTAGGTGCTGACCAAGTTTAGAAGAGCTAGCTGATTCGTGTGGAACTCTTCCTTTCTCAAGCTCTCTTCTCTTCACTTCTCCTTCTTGTTGTTCTTCTTCCCGGAAGCTCGGAATCTTTGCCCGAGGTAAGGGAAGCTAGTTTTCTTGTTGCGTTTTGGCTGAAAATGGGTCTAAGAACTCATTTGGTTGTTTATGATTGCTGATTCTTTACTGATCGGGTGAAAATTTGAGTTTTTGGGGTCTTTGGGGTTTTGAGAAAAATTTGGGGTTTTTCTTGTTTTGTTGTTGAATGTGTAAAAAGGTGGTGTTTTTGGACTCTTGGATGAAAATGTGGTACTTTGAACCGTTTGCATGCTGGGTTTCTGATTGTTTTGCAGGGTTGGGTGAAATTTTCGAACTTGTTGGTGTTGCTGCTGAGCTTCGCGCTGAGCGCAGTTCTTCGCGCGGGCGCGTGGCAACCAGGGGACTCCATTTAGGCAAGCCCGTCGGGCGCAATGATGGGTGCGTCAGGCGCGCTTGGGAATGTGGGTCTCTGGCTAGTCCGCGCTGGGCGTGACTTGGACCATGCTGGGCACGATATCAATTGTACCCTGATTTGGGCTTTTTGATTCTGCGCTGAGCGCGACCCTTGTCGCGCTGGGCGTGAGACTCCTTGGGAGTCTCTGCCTTGAGGGCCTTGTCGTGCTGGGCGTGAGACTCCTTGGGAGTCTCTGCCTTGTGGGCGCTGGGCGCAAATCTGAATTGCGCTGGGCGCGTGAGACTCCATGGAGTCTCTGCCTGGCATGCACTGGGCGCAATTGGTATTGCGCCAGGCGCGAGTGAGCCTTGGGCTCTATGGTTGGGTCCCGTCGGGCGCGGGCATGCTTGCGCTGGGCGCGTTGGCCCCTTGGTGCTCTCTAGTTGCACTGCACCGGGCGTAACCACGAGTGCGTCAGGCGCATAGATGATAATTCACTATATGCTGTACAATGTTGTTTTGTGCTGAGATAAGTTGAAGTTGATGATTATGATGTGATGACTAGTAGATAACGTTGTTCGACGCCGTTGCGTGGTACCAGACGAATATTGTCGTAAGATGTCTTGATGTGCTGTAAGATGATATGTTGTGCTGTAAAGTGGTGTTATGTTGTATGATGATATGAGATGTTGTAGGCCGAAGGGCTGAGTTGTTGTAGGCCGAAAGGCTGAGTTGTTGTAGGAGATCTCTGAGATGACATGCGTGACGACGCATTGTTTGCCATTTGCTGGTTTGTTGTACATTCGATGAGATGTAGGCTGACGATGTGTTGATAGTTGTAGTTGTTCATATTACTTAAATCTTGCTATACGTTGTTCTTTTTATACTAGCTTACCCTTTGTGTTTCCATGTGGTTGGACTGCTATGATCGTATTATGTACGGGAGCAGAGCAGGAATAGGTGGGTGGCTAGTGGTGAGTCTGCAGCTGGCAGGCGGAGCTGATCCTGGTAGATGTTTTGTTGTTTCAGCTACTTGGTGTAGTAGCTTGGATGTGTTTTTTTGTACATTTTGAATCTAGTCAGACTTGGATCATGTATATATGTATAT